TTTTAGTTGTTCTAAGAAAAAAAGATATACTCTCTAGCTATTATGATGTGGTTATAATAATAAATCTATCTCTTATACTACCTCCGTCCCACTGTCTTTGTCCACTTTTGACTTTTGAAACTGTTCATCTAAGCACTTTGACTCATCAAATTCTCTCAATGTGTAAGCCTAAATATAGTCATGTGTGATCTTGTTTGATTTGTCTTAACATATAGATTATTAATATATAATTTCTATAATTTTTTAATATACAAATTACAAGATAAAATGGATTAAAGAAGTGCATTGGATGGTGTGCTAAAAGGTAAGTGGACAAAGACAGTAGGACGGAGGGAGTAACAAGAGTTGAAGTGAACGGCTACGCACGTAAGCACTTTTTTTCTGTCTCAAAAACATTTCCTCATGCTTAAAATGCTGCTAAATTGCCTTTTTATTCTTTAGAGACATTTTCTCTCGTCAACTATGTATTATACTCCCTCCGTCCACAATGAAACTTTACACTTTCCTTTTTCGTCTGTCCACAAATAAACTTTACATTTCCTTTTTAGGTAAGGATCCCATACTAAATGACTTTTATACCCCTCATTTTATTTCACATCACCCAATCCCCCTACCCACCTTAATTAATCTAAACTACCCCGGCCACCTACACCTCCCATGTAATTTACTCGGTATTTTCTTTTTTTTTCAAACAGAAGCCTTCATCGCCTCCTCTCTCTATCTGAGATCTAGATCTCAGATTTCTCTTCATCCCAAACTTACCTCTTCGACTGAAAGAAAATTCGATTTCTCCTTAGTTGCTCTCACCCACACCAACAACCCTTAATCCTTTCTTCTTCGATGGAATCTGAAGATTTGCGGAGTATAATTTCTGAGACTCCAAATTTCTTCACTGATCTAGACAAATCTGTTAATTCTGAAAAAATCATCTCTCCGGTAAGGAAATCGGTGATTGAGCAACTTCCCTCGAATGTACGAGCTGATGAGGTTAAGAATCTCGAAGAGGTGGTACCTGATTCAAAGGAAGACGAAAACCCCGTTGACTCTTGGAAGGCCCCATCGAGCTTTGTGTGTGTTCGAATTCATGCATGTGATGACTTCTTAAAGATTCTGATTCCAGGATGGGATTTACCTAAGTGTGTCCTCTTAACTCTTCTCTTCTCAGTATTTTTGATTTTCTGCTATACTTGAGCCTGCTGTGATTTGGTTGGTGCTTCTACTTTTATGTATGTTTGCCCATTAAATTCTGATTACCTATGTGTGAGCACATAATCTGTCCCTTGATACCCTTGAGCATACTATGATGTGGTTTCTGTTTCTGTTTTAGTGTGTGTGTGTGCCATTACCTTCTGGTTGCATTTGTTGTTAGAATAAAGGCCCAACGCTAGAGGGGGGTGAATAGCGTTTGAAACAAAATCGCAGGAAATTAAAACGAGAGCGGTAAAGTAAAGAGCGTAAGGAAGGAACACGCCGGATTTTATCCTGGTTGACCACAACGTGTGGCTAATCCAGCCCCCCGAGAGACTCTCTCGAGCTACACTAACTCCGTTAAGCTTAAGGGTGCTTAACAAATGCTCAGAGGTAAAAAACAGGGTTTAAAAAATTGAAAACCACGGAGTTGGTTCGGGCGCCAAAAACCGAACGCCGAAAGCCAAACACCGACTTAGGTGGTTTCAGTTCTGAGCAAGGACCAGGGATTTTAACAATAAAAGAAATCATCAAAAATGTTTGTTTTGATGCACAAAAAATATTTTATGATTTGTAAAAATTGTTTTGACTTTTTGAGAACCGAGACTTGAATTTATTGTCGGTTTTGATCACAAAAGACCGACTCGACTAAGTCTTCAATTCTTGATCTTGTCCTTGAGTCTTTTAGGTCTTGTTCCAAGCCATTCTTCACGCCTTGAGTTATTCAACGAAACTCTTTATATCCACGGCGGTTTGGCAATTATCAAAACCTGTCAGAAATGAACACGACTTTAGTTTATCGTACAAAGTGTGTTCCAACAATTTCCCCCTTTTTGATAATGGCAAACAAGACGGGGATATGCATAGGGTTTTGATCTTTTTGAAAAAAAATTCCCCCTTAAAAAAAAAATTCCCCCTTTAAAAAAATTCCCCCTTAATATATGCATAGCCCTTATCTTCCCCCTTTTGACATTAACAAAAAGATTGTTAACAACAAAAATCATAAAGGTTTTTATTAATTAATTAAGGGAAATAGCGGAGTACATAACGAAAGCATATTAAAAGATGATAAAATAAGGAAGAGAAGAAAGTAGAGCTAGAGCTCTAGAAATCCGGGGAAAGATCATTGAGAAGTTGTTCTTCGTCAATGTCTTCTTCTTCTTCATCTTCATCACCATCGCCATCATCATCATCATCATCATCATCATCGGCTTCGTCTTCCTCTTCTTCTTCCTCTTCTTCTTCCTCTTCCTCATCGTCCACCTCGTCATCTCTACCAACGTTTTGAGTCCCACTTTGTTCACCTCCGAAATTCGGTGGAGGAACGTAAGGGACCATTTGAGCGTACGGGTAATTGACAAAGTCAAAATACCCGTGAAGTTCACGGCTCAAGGTATTGATGTTGTGTGCCGTTTTGGAGACGTTGGTGTCAATCCGAGAGAGAGTGGCGGTTAAGGCTGCCATTTCCTCAGCGAGAGAAGGATTGGTCGAAGTGGTGGCGGTTGAGGCAGTGGCTCTCGGTTGGCGGCGTGGACGAGGCTGTCGAAACGGAGTCTCGTCGGTGCCCGAGTGGAAAGAGGATTCATCAATCTCCCAATGCTTTGTCCCCTTTATCTTTGGTCCAACATCGGTTTTGATGTTATATTCTTCAAGAATAGCCATGACAAGGAGGGCGTAGGGGAGCGGCCGATTGTCGGAGGTGGCCGTGAACATGTGAGTCCTCACAAATTTACACCAATTGAGATTGGCGTTGTGAATCATCGCATGAATTGTCTTCGTGTCCTCTTGGGAGAGAGTGGTGTGATTGAACTTCCTGGGCTTGAGAATCCGTGTCAAAACATAAAAAATGAATCGAAACACGGGACTCATGGAAGCAATCGTAGGGCGTCGCTGTTGGGGAGTGGGTACGAAGTGTCGGATGCCCACTTCCTCCAAGAGAGCGGTCTCGTTGAACCGTGCTCCTTCTTCTCCAACGTAGAGCCCGAGATCCTGTCCATCCCGACGAAGCCTGGTGAGGATTTGAATGTTTTCCTCATTCAAATAGATGTCCACCCCGTTGACGTTAGAGATCAACGCTCCGTCCTCATCCTTTTTCAAGTTCGAGTAGAAAGCTCGAACAAGAAAGGGGTGATAATTGACCTTCTTGATGTAGAGGAGATCGAGGAAGTTTCCACGTTCGAGGATAACCCGTGCTTCACGTGGAATGGAGTCATGAATGAAGCGGGCGGTGGAGAATCGGGGAGGGAGAATCTCCCGGTGCTCAAATTTCTTTGAGAACCGTGTCGCCTCTGCGTGGTCGTTGAACCAAAGGAACGACCCATCGAGGTACTTGTGCGCCGGTGGTGGAGGAGCCGAAGAAGAAGCCACGTTCTTGCCGGTGCGGGATCTTTTTCTTTGACCTCCTGCCATATCAACAAAGAGAAAATTGCAAAAATTTGGAAAGAAAATGAAGAATAGGAGCAAGAATGATGAATTATGATGAATATTTGGAGAAAGTATGGTTTGAGTGAGTATAAAATGAATAGAGATCACCAATTTATAAGGGAGTGGGCTGGAGATCCGTTGGGGAGTTCAAAACATGCATTAATTGCTCTCCAAACGTCTCTGCAACGGTCAGATTTTTGAAAAATCGTCGTTGATAGTCGATTTACACTCCCTGTAAATCGATTATCTGAGGCTTCAGATTCTTCGCCAAAGAAACTGCAGGCTTCAATAATCGATTTCTGCCTTGGTTGTAAATCGATTGTTGGAGAGGATTTGCCTCAAATTTCTGAAGGCTTTAATAGTCGATTTACATGTTTTTTTTGTAAATCGATTGTTGATGTCTCCAGCTAAGTTTCCTCAAACTCCTGCAGGCTCAGATAATCGATTATCTCAATGTTGATAATCGATTGTTGGCTCTTTCAGTTTCTTTGCTCCAACTCCTGTGGGTTGTCATAGTCGATTATCACAAGCCTGTAAATCGATTGTTCACATTCCCCCTGACTTCAACCCCAACAATGAAAACATTTTGGTACCCGTTTGGTCTTTTGGGTCCTTGAGGATTAGTAACCCGACTTTTTAAACTAATAAACACACGCACCCATAATCACATACACATGGTACGCAAACACACACAGACACACACATGTACCAACACGCGTGTTTAAGTGTTACCTTGGCCAACTCGTCGTTTTGCGGTTGGCGGGTTCCAGTCTACTCGAACCGAATGTCTATATCTCGGTTTGATTTGTGTGGGTTCTGGAAGTGGTATGTGAATCTTCTTCTTTTCATCATAATAGAAGAAGTAATATGGTTTCTTTTGCGTTGATTCCTGCAGGGATTGGTTAGAGTTCGAATATCCTTTTTCAAAGTATTTCATTAGGTTAGTTCCATGCAAAGTGTGTGTTTTGTTATACGTGTAATGCCTATGCCTACTAAAACACACGGGTGCTATATGACCTACCCTATTGCAGTAATGAAATATAACATTTGGATTATGCATTTTCCTAGGTTGATAATAGTTGCTAGGTTTTCTAACTTGACCATTGTTCATCCTAGTGTTCTTTCTAGGTGGTCTAGTGTTCCTAATTGTTCTAGGTTGTCTATTTTCTTGATTTCCATTATTCCTAAGTTGAGCTTTAGGTTTCCTAGATGGTCGCTCAACTTTTTCTTTATTATTAGGTTCATTTTCAAAACCTAAGCCATGTTTAGTAAGTTGCAAATTGTCAAGAACATCATTAAGGTTTTTATGAGAAACACCAAACTTCTTCAAAGTTCCTTCAAGTTTTGCAACTTGATCCTTAAGTGATATGCAAGAACTACATTTTGAACTTTCCGGTTTTTCGGCGCTTCTTTCTCCGAAAAACTTATTTTCTTCTTTAAGTTTTTCATTATCTTTTGATAGTTTATCAACTTCCTTCTCCATTAAAGTAAGTTGTTTCTTCAAATCCTTGTTAATTTTAGAAGCGTTGACATATTCATCATAAAGTTCATTAAAGGCTTCTTGTACATCATCAAAAGTATAGGAATCTTTAGAAGTGGTACATACCTCTTCCGGTGGTTCCTCGTGTGCCATGAGGCAAAGGTTGGCGCTCTCATTTTCTTCGCCTTTCGATGACTCATCGCCGGAATCACCTCCCCATGAGATGTAGGCTCGGTGCTTCTTGAACATTTTATTCTTGTTCTTGACGTTTGGACATTTTGGTTTTATATGCCCAACTTCTCCACACCCATAGCATTTGGGTGGACATCCTTGCTTCTTTCCTTTCCGTTCATACTCTTGGCTCATGAACCTATGGAATTTATTGAGCACGATCCCGAACTCGTCTTTGTCACTCGAGTGACTTGTGGACGCCTTGAGTGCAATTCCATTCTTCTTTTGTTCACCTAAAGAGGGGTAAAGAATGGTAGACTCATAGGTTTTGAGGTTACCTCTAAGTCCGTCAATGGTGACATTGGTGATGCCGATGGATTCTTGGATAGCATCGGCTTTGGAGCGCCATTCCGGTGTGAGACTTCGCAGGATTTTTCTTACAAGCTCCTTGTCCGTATATGTCTTCTTGAGAGCATGAAGATCGTTAACGATTTTTGAAAATCGTTCAAACATATCGTCGATTTTCTCATTCTCCTTCATATGAAATAGTTCATACTCATGGGTTAGAAAATCTATCTTAGCTTCTCGGACTTGATCCGTACCTTCATATGTGATTTCTAGCTTGTCCCACATTTCCTTGGCGGTGGAACAACAAGAGATCTTCCGGTAGTCATCCGGGTTTACTGCACAATAAAGAATGTTGATCGCCTTGGCGTTGTTCTCTATTTTCTTGATATCCTGCGCATCGTATTCATCTTCGGTTTTGGGAACGGTGGTTTCCCCAACTTTCTTCATGGGTAATTCTTCCCCATTCTTGATAATTCTCCATAGGAGAAAGTTGTTGGATTGGATGAAAATTCTCATTCGCTCCTTCCAATATGTGTAATTCGTTCCATCAAATAATGGAGGCCTCGTGGTGGATTGCCCTTCTCCTAAACCTGCGTATAAGTTTTGAGTAGAAGCCATTGATCGTTTCTCTCAAACGGTTAAGTCTTTCAGAGAGTAAGGCTCCGATACCAATTGTTAGAATAAAGGCCCAACGCTAGAGGGGGGGTGAATAGCGTTT